ATCCCAGTCACAAAACCTGAAGGGCACACTCGAGATTGAAACTTGCCATTGAAAAGTTCAATGAATCTCAAAGATCTAGGAGTTTCAAAAACCAATTAAAACCTAATCATACATTTCGTTTATCTTGGTGGAAATTGGTGAATCGTCATTCACCTATCTTTGAATATTTTATAGCTTGGATTACAACATCCCTCTTCTAAGTTATAAAACAGTTTGTAGGGTTCTGGCCTTAATATTTCATATTGGGTGTCATATTAAGGACTTTAAATCAACTATCTTGAATATCTCCCAAAAAGATGTCTGGTTTAGACATTTATGATCTTCCTAAATCTCTTGAAACAAGCTTTCCTAAATGAAGATGATGTCCCATGGAAATCATACTTCTTTCACCTACTCCAATTATTCTCCTTAACCCACAAGTTCTTGAAAATTTTAAGGTCACTCAAGCCCTATTGGCAAGCAAAGGTCTATGTGTGATCACATCTTGGAGATGTAGTCACATATTGACAAGCCGGGAGAGTTGGGTGTCAAAGTGTTGAGAAAGTTGGTGCCTCAACTACTTTCTAAGTCACATAGTGAGTTCCTTTGGGACTCATATGAAACAGACTATGACAAGAACCTTAATGATCTTATCTATTTGCTAAGATCAACTTCCTAAAACTTGTGGACATTGACAATAATGACATTGGATATCTAGTAAATCTCTCTCTTTCCAATGGAAAGGGATCGACCATAGTCAACTCGGTTAACCAAATGGTAAAGAGAGAGGCTAAGTCTGAGATAGTCCCATTATCAAGGGTCCATAGGTAACTATTGCCAAAGGAAGGGACATTGGTTGTGAAGCTGCCAAATTTACCTAAGGATGTTAAAGTCAATAAGTTTGGCTCTACTTCAGGTAAAGTCCATTGTCTAACTCTATTAAGTTCATGCTGATTCTGATCACGAAGATGGATTTCAATCTCATGGTTCGGTGATCAGAATTTTGGGCTATTACTTAAGAGTTATGATATTTATATTGCTTAGGAATAGATAACAACAAGGTTTTCATATGGATTGTAAGGATAAGTTTCCCGCAAAGTTTTAAAATAAAAGAAAAAGGTTTTGATTTTATTTATTTTAAGTATCCTTACAATGGCATTTGTGAAAAGTTGTTGCTTATAAGATTCCACTGATAGCAATATTGGAAAGTGAATTTGATTCTTTCATTTGTGGTAGTGTCTAAATTTACCAAATACGGAAAGATTCTCATCATCCAAGTTTTAGTTGGATAGAAACTTGGAATCATGCAAGTTGTATAGCATGATGAATGAGAACTTTCAAGCATTGAAAAAAAATTAGACTAACTACTTGTTCACATGGATGTGTGAGTCAAGTGAAGGACTAAGGAATCGAGTACACATTCTTGTGCACTGGTCAAGTCCACCACAAAAGATCGATAAGACTATTCGTCATGGTTTACTAAAGCTCAGTAAATATGATGATACTTACAAGCTTAAGTGTAACTCTGAGACATTAATGGAAAAGGTTCCAATGTATGGTAGAGCGAATAAGAAGAACCCAATTAGGCAGAAGGATAAAAGTTTCTAAAATCTGAAAAGATGGGAGAGTACTTTAGTATCAGTTTTGATCATCTTAATGATTAAGAAACCATAGCACAATTAGTTCTCTAAGGAAATCTTAGTGCATTCTTATGACTAAGACGAGGAATCTTGAATTGTTGAAATGGTTAAATCAAGAAGATGAGTCATACTTCGTTCCAATACAAGTCTTAGAGTCATACTCGAAGATTGTAATTTGAGTGACATGTCTTAAAGAAGGTTTTAAAACACTTGTCAAATGCAAGAGTTAAAGTTTCGTACTCTTGTACATTTGAAATTGGTAAGTTGTGATGTTTTGGATAAAACAAAGACCAACTAAGGCCAATTATGTGAAGTGTTTGTCTTGATTAGAATCCGCACTATCTCTTGGATGTTTGACAAGGGAGTCTTATAGGTCTAGAGGACAGTGGGAGTCTTAAAGGTCTTGAAAGTCTCAAGAACTAATCAAGAATAAAACCTGAAGTTCTTCACTAGCACACGACTTGAGGTTTATAACCTATCATGTTGAAATATTCTACCCATTCCAGTTAAAGTTGGCTTTGCATATGAGTTTTTAGAGTTCTCAATTGGTTGCACAACAACTTGGAAGCAATGGCAGGCTCTTGAGCTGCCAGGTGGCAAGAAATTAAGATTGAGTTCAATCCATATGAGTTTTGATTTGTCATTATCCTTGTCTTGTGATTATGGTTTTGACAAATTCATATGGGTAGGAACTCATACACCATAAAAATCTAAGTATCATAAGGTTTCTCTCCGATTCATGAAAATGATGGTGAGGAAACACTTTCACTAAGTAGATTTTAGCTAGATAGCAATTGAGATATTTTCATTCTCAAAGTCGTTAGTGGAGCGTGCGTGGTTAACCGGCATACTAACCTGTACTTGTAAGAAGTGGCAAAAAGGTTTAACCATTATGATTACGACATCCCTCTTCATAATTGTTTAGACACACATATGAGCTATCTAAGGGAAGGTGTATGATTTTGATAAAGTTTTATCAAAACAATCTAGTATCAGAAATCTGAACTTTGGTAAGAAAGTCAGCTGATTTCTGAGTACATGTCAAAGCTAGTGGGAGCATAAGTGTCATGCTAATAATCATCATGTTAGTGGAAGCATGATAATTATGATAAGTATTGCAAGTTAGCAATGTTAATTATAAAAAACAAAAGTTTCAATTGGGAAAGAGTTGTTTTGCTATAATTAAGGGAGAGGAAATTATACTTCATCTCATATCTAAAATCTTAGATTGAGGTTTTAATCGTATTTAGTCAAGGATATATATATATATATATATATATATATATATATATATATATATATATATATATATATATATATGAATTTCATGTTGGAATGGCTCAACATAAGAAAATTTTGTATATGGGTCCATTATTTGCATTCTAAACTTCAATTATGATTACGACATCCCTTTTCGTAATCTGAATTATGAGAACTTGACAAATAGAAATGGAAATGTTATATCAAAAGACTGGTTTAGTCTTTATGTGAGACATCATGAATCGTGTCGCATATGCTTCGGATATAGGATCGATTACATGTGCTATATTCATCCTTTCTAAAATTTTCCAAATGCCTGGGGCATTAAGAAGGGAAAAGGTCTAGAATTGGATATGACTAAAAGGATTAATCAATTGTCGAGGACAATCTAAGGTTTACCAAAGATTAGGTGCTCAAGGACAGTTGGAAGTATAGTGATAATTCTGGAAGGACCATATTGACATAATCTGTAAGGAGGCAACTCTTGTTCAGAAGTGATAGTCAAAATAAATTTGATAATGTTTCAAAGTTAGAATTTTCAATCTATGTAAGATTAAGGAAACTTAATGCATGAAGGATTTTCCAAGGAGTTGATCTCCTTTGGAATACTTTGTAATCTTTGTTGTCAAGTCCTTGTGACTTTGTGCATAATCATTACAAGAGGATCAATGCATATAAGTTTAGAATCTAACAGATTTCAGTAAATCGTATGAATTTGGAATTTTTGCATTTGTAGTAAGGATTTGGGACCACTACTAGAAAAGCAGCCTTTTATGACGCTCATTGCGTGTCGTAAAAGGCTCAGACGACGCGCAAATGCGCGTCAAGGAAGGCCCTGTCATAAAGAGAGACGACGCACTTTTGCGTGTCGTCTATAGACGACGTGCATTTACGACGCTCGTTTACGACACACAATTACGACGCGTGTTTACGACACGCAATGTGTATCAAGGAAGGCCCTGTCATAAAGGAAGACGACACAGATTCGCGTGTTGTAACCTTACGACGCGCGTGTTAATTACACGCAATGCGTATCAAGAAAGCCCCTGTCAAGAAAGGCCTTGTCATAAATGAAGATGACACACATTTTTGCGTATCATAATTTTAAATGTTTAAAAAAATATATTATTTTATTGATTTACTAATTTTCAAATTAAATAATACATTAAAAATCCCATAATACAAAATAAAATACCATAAATAACAAAGATAATTCATTTCACTAATATGTTAAATACAAATAATTATTCCAATAGTGTGTAAATGTTATAAAAAAATGAACTCATTTATATACAATTGCATTATCTAGCTTACTATGTGCCAACAACTCTTTGTGTGTTTACTTTTGCTTGAGTCTCGTTTCCTCCAAAGCTTCTAGCAATGCCAAAATATGATATCTTAGGGTTCATGTCCAAACTAAGTAAAACATTGCTAGCTTAAATTCGTCAAGTCCTTGGCGTGAAGTCTTAGATAGAAGCTTAATTGCAATCTCCAATCCTTCTAGCAGACCCTAAAGATCATTATTGGCCATGTAGCAGCATCCTGCAATCTTTTTTCTACCTTCTTATTACTTGAAGCATCTTCTGCCTGTTTGACCAAGGCTGTGTCTTCAGCAGCAACATGTTGCCTTGCGTCAAAAAGATAAAAACAGTTGATAATAAATACAAATAACTGCATTCTACTTAAAAAAATAGAATCCAACTCCAAAATCACAAACCTATTTAAACATACTAGAGACAGGATCCAATCCATGGGGTATTTTTGGAAAATAGTTTGAACATTCTTGACAAATCATCAACCTGCAAGTGAAGGGTAGAAAGGGAAGAAACAAATGCTCACAACTAGTAAGAAATCTAAACACTAGAAGTTTCACAGTGATTGTTGATTCCTATAAACTCAAATGTGAGATGAGAGGCTTGTTCAGAACCAGTAAGAAATACTAAGTAGAAAGAAACAAGCCCTTAATCCAGTAAGCTATATATGAGTGTTTCTTCACTTAACAATAGCTCCTTTCTTTCTCTTGATCATTCCAGTCAAGACGACATTTGTAACTTTATTCGTCCCTTCAACATTAACCTTAATTAAATCAGACATCAACTTATCATCAACTTTATGAAAAAACTAGCATAAGGATAGCAAACCCCAAACATTATTTATCAAAACCCGAACATCTATACCAACAACTGTTTCCTTAATCCTCTCAATCCCATGATCTAAATCACAACTAAAATCAACCACAACAACTTTGATTTGGGTTTGTTTGAATTTAGTTCGGATTGAATCTGAAACGTCGTTTAGTTTAGCAAGATTCCGACCCACAAGAACCAAATTTAGTCCTTTACTAGCCAGTTGGAAGGCAAAGGCATTACCAATACCATCTATAGGACCCGTAACCAATACCCATGACCCGTCTTTCTTGAGGTTTTTAGCGGGTCTGAGGAAATTAACTAACACCTAATTCAAGATTTGAAGGGATGATTTTAGTAGAGAAAAGGAACCTCCTAATTGAAGATTGGACCCAATACAACTATAAACATATTAACCTTCTCGTAGAGATCAAGGTCACCTGATGCTGTCAAATCAATCAGCAGCCTCACCAGTGCACAATTGCAGAAAAAAGGAACATCCTATTTGCTAGTATATTCTAACTGATATTCAGCCAGATGAGCTACAAGTGACACTAATCTAACTTCGGCAGTGGCGTTGCTCAAAATTCCCTAAAAACAAGTTTTAAATTAGAAAAGACTTTGATTTGTCAACTTCCACATGCGTTACCTTTAGCATCAGGTCGCCGCCTTCGGAATAGAACAATTTCAGGCCATTTAGGTTGTTTCTAATAATCACTGAAATAGCATACAACACTTTTATTGCTTCTTCCTCTAACACACTAGATTTCACCATTGTCATTAGCTTTGGCAATGCTCCAAGTTCAAGGACCTAAATTTTATAGATATACAGTGATTTTAATTCCATGTTGAACTCCTCTGACTCTGAAGCTAACAAACAAATGGATTTTAACCTACCTGTTTCTGAACTACAGGATTATTTTGACTGGCTTTACCAACAATCCATGCACAGGCCACCCTTATTCCAGGATCTGAGTTACTAAGTTCCCGAATAACTGAAGCAAGACCTCCAAATTTGTGCATATCTGAATGTAAATAAAAGCTCACAAATTATAAATGGTTTGCACTTGCAAACTTTTTGTAGTGCAACATCAGGATTTTAACCTACCTGATTCAAAATCATTTATCAAATCAAGCATACCATCTATTCACTACTAATCACCTGTACATAGAGGTGTACCTAATTATGGTAATAACACAGTGTAACCTATGTCATACACAAATGTCATATACGATATACAAATAGGATGCATATTAATCCGTTAATGTACATGTGTCATTGTCATGTACACAAGTATATGGATGCAACATTATGTCCCTACCTTAAGCCCTCTATAGCTTCCCTGGTGTCTCCCTCAGGTCTATAACCCTTCCATCGGGTCTAGTCAAACAAATAAAAAATATATCTAAAAGTGAGATTACCAAAATACCATCACCTGTTTATGGAAATGATAATGTTTGTAAAAGAAAATAGTTAAGATACCTTAAGCTAAAGTCAAGATTTCCCATATCCCTCATTAATTTATTTGGGTTAGAAATTTCACATAGGACCTAATCTACATTCATAAATGATTCAACAAAAGGTATAAGCTAATTGAACCCTACAAAATCTGTCACTGAGGCTCTATTGGTCATATTTATACATGTAAACTAACATATACAGTAGGAAAACGATTAAACAATGAAGAAAAGGACTATGATGGTAGTAAGAATATTATAGATATACCTGAGCCTCATAGTCTTTAATATACTCCTTAGCCCTGTTAAAGATAACTATTGGTTTTTTTAGGTGCATCTAGATGAGCCAAAAACCATATAAATCCGGATTATCCAGAAGATCAGTTGGATATTGGACAGTCCAACATGAAGCAGTGTGGATCCACTTTGATATGTGTCATCGATGATTTTCTGGTTTCTGATAAAGAAAAGAAGATCAAAATAAGTACTAAATAAATCAACTCAAAATAAAATAAGAATTAAAACAAAATAGGAGCTTAATGCACAAATTTTCGAATTTCCTAGTTCTACTAATAAACAATGAAGAGGATTAGTGAATAATAAGCATAAATTATTCAAAAAAAAAATCAGCATTAGAAGAAGAATTCCAAAACTTATTTTAAAACACAAATCTAACAATAAAAAATCAAATCCAGAACATCAATATATCTAACAAAACCTAAGGGGAAAACTTTAAATCAGGTTTCAAATTTCATGTTTAGGGTTTGGAAATAGGCAAAATTCCCAGGACACCACGGAATTGATTCATCATTCGGTCCAAATATCATTATAAATCCCGAATTAGACTCATGTAATTACACCTGATCACACTTCATGCCTTCTTCTCTGATAGGGTTCGAACAGAATAACGAAACAAAGTGTCTTCAGAGGAAAAGAAAACAGAATATGGAATATCCAGAAGGTTAAGGGGACATACCACAGTTGAATATTAGGTGGTATGAAGAACCGACTTTGATGTCCATGGCATCGTCCTCAAGTGAAATAGATGAACTAGTGAATTTTTTGGCAAGAAATCAAGGCTTTTTGTGGATGACCTCGTTAATGTTAAGTTAGGGAAGAAGACCGACATGTTGTTGGAAGAGAAGGAGAATCGTTGAATTGGTACATCTTTCAATGTGGAGAAGATTGAAGGAGAGGAGAAGAAGAGACATACATCTTTTGAACTAGGGTTAGAATCGGAGGAAATATCTTTAGAATTAAAGACAAAATTAGCATATTCTAAGTCGTTTGCTTTGATTTTTCTTAGATCAACTTTTTCTCCAAACCCTATCAGTTGTTGGTACCGATTTTAGGGTTTCACATAGAACAAGAAAGAGGTGGTGATGGAGAAGATGGTAGGGCGGCGATGGATAGTAGGAATGGTGGTGATGGTCGATTGTGTTGAGGTTGCAGGTGGTGAGATGTAGCTGCGACAACCATGGAGGTGGTATGGAGGGGAACTGTAGAGAGAGAGAGAGAGGGAGAGAGAAGAGAGAGAGATAGAGAGAGAGAGAGAGAGAGAGTCTGATGAGGTGAGCATTCCTGTGGAAGGAGGAGACGCAAGCGGGGTTTTTAATTTTTTGGATTTCATTCCCCCCAAAAAATGAAAACGCGCGCTAATAGACTAAAATTATAAAGCGATAGGGTAACACGACGCACTTTTTAGGATAGGTTCCCTCTGTGTTTTTAATTTTTTTTGCTGGACACTAATTTTAGGGCGCGCAAAAATGCATGCGGTCTATCCTTCAAATTTTCCAGAACTGACATTAGTTTTTTAGGGCATGTACAAATGCGCATCGTCTATCAGCGCGCGTCATTAAAGGGCTATTTTCTAGTAGTGGATTGTGAAAAGAGGATCATTGTAGTTATGTTTAATTGATCTATTTCACAAAGTAAAGATCATAGATAAACATAGTATGAATACTTGGTGTATGACATGACTAGTGTTTAGAAAACATAGTGTACATGCTTAGAGCATGGGACAACTATTGTTTTAAATTCAAGAATAAAGTTGATAGCTGAAACAGTATACAATGAATAATGTGTAATCATATGGTGATAAATAAAAGGTGTTTTATTTATGTTTATAGGTTTTGATACCATATTGGATTCAATTATGCTTGTGTTTCATTTTGCATGTTTTGACTTCCAGAATAAACTAGGTTATTCTTCCGGAATGACTAAGTTATTCAAACCATCTACAGTCGGTCATATGTTGGAAGTAGATATGAATCAAGACTATCATGGGTTGGCTTGTAGAGGTCTAAGATGTTGGACAAAGGGCTACAACACTTATGAGTGCTCATAAGTTCTGAGTATTAGATTCAACCCGCACTCATTGGAATCACTTCATGGATTTTATCATGAGTGATCATGAGATGATAATATCTTATATTCTTCAAACCTAGAGATATGAGTTGTTACTATGAGTAGGTTGTACATTGATTGCCCGAAAACGCATTCTGTAACTCGGTGTTATAAAACGTGCCTTTGTGTATGATTCAACAAGTAGTAGAACAAGCCATATGAGTCGAAGTTTATCCATTCCTTTTACCTTCGGGATAAAAGCGGGCGCCTCTATGATTTGATGATGACAAATAGAAGTGCTCGGCCGGGCCAAGACTGATTTGATTTGTTCAATTAGTCAGTCGTCATAAATCGAAAATCAGGAAACAACACATGGATAGAGAGAATGATTATAATCCATGTATCAGTCCATATGATATCTAGAATGGAGGAATATATGATCCCTTATCTAATGGACAAGTCATTGACAAAGGTCAGAGTTTATCTACAAGGTTAGAGTTCGACAAAAGCTTTTGAGAGCTACGACTTCCAGTCAGCTCTTGAAGTCATATGCAATAATAGTTTTAGACTTATCCAAGTGGGAGACTGTTGGATTAATGTCTAAGTCCATAACTATAATTGGTAAGACTTGACCCGACTCGGCATGGTCCATTTGGGTTACATGGCATCATGCATTTGGATAGACTAAAAGAATAGAAATAACACTTAAGGTTTGTTAATATATTATAAGCTCTAATATATTAAGAAGGTTATTTAATTAGTATTGATCAAGAATTAATTTGGAATTAATTAAGTGATCAAAAGGAGACTAATTAAATACATGGGTTGATTGTGTAAATCATTCATTCTTATATATATGGGCTTGTGATCCACGATTCCTTATGTTGGACTAAGTCCATGGGGTGACCCATGGATGCTCCATGGAGGTTAAAATCCATGGAGAATAAGGAATGGGTAAAGTCATGAGTTACATGGTGTAACCCTAATATCCACCATATAAAAGAATCCCATGGCTCAAGAAATCGTGCACTATGTGTGAGTGTGAGGGCTAGACGATTTCAAGGAGTGTTCAAGTTTCTCTCAAGTTATTCCAAGTGTATTTTGTGTTGTGTGAACCATTTGAGGTGTCACACTTGGGGTACTAGGCACTCAAGCTTCATGAAGACTTTCTACATCAAAGAGCTATGTATTCTATCTTGTTATATTCATTGTTTAGTATGCTAGATTAGGATAATACCTTGGAAGTTCATATTTGAATGTATAATAGAGAAAACATAGATCCTAGGTATTTAGGGTTGCATGTACACTTAGGAGTGTTAGAATGCTCAAAACCCAACAACAGGAGTTATACTCGCAGCTTCAGGAGTTGCTGGGAAAAGGGTTTATCAGACCGAGTAGCTCACCTTGGGGAGCGCCAATCCTTTTTGTCAAAAAGAAGGATGGTTCACACCGGATGTGTATTGATTACCGGGAGTTGAACAAGTTGACGGTCAAGAACCGTTATCCGTTACCAAGGATCAACGATCTATTCGATCAATTGCAGGGAGCGTCTTGGTTCTCCAAGATAGACTTGAGGTTGGGATATCACCAGATGAGGGTTTGGGATGAAGATATCCAGAAGAAAGCGTTTAGGACTCGTTGCGAGCATTACGAGTTCGTGGTGATGCCTTTCGGGCTCACTAATGCACCAGCAGCGTTCATGGATCTCATGAACAGGGTGTACAGGTCGATGTTGGATCGTTCGGTGATCATATTCATCGATGATATCTTGGTGTATTCGAGATCCAGAGTGCAACATGAGGAGCATTTGAGGGAGATCCTCGAAGTTCTGAGATCGGAGAGGCTTTACGCCAAATTCTCCAAGTGTGATTTTTGGTTACGGGAGGTCCAGTTCCTAGGGGACCTCGTTAACCAGAAGGGGATATTGGTCGATCCGGCAAAGATCGAGACGGTGATGAGTTGGGAGATGCCGGGGTCACCTACCGAGATCAGGAGTTTCCTTGGGTTGGCTGGTTATTATCGGGGATTTATCAAGGATTTCTCTAAGATCGCCGTGCCATTCACCAAGTTGACCCGGAAGGGTGTTGCTTTTTCATGGGTTCCAGATCAATATACCTCATTTGAGACACTTCGATAGAGATTGTGCGAAGCTCCGATGCTCGCACTCCCGGAAGGGATGGAGGATTTTGTGGTATACTGTGATGCATCAATATCAGGGTTGGGAGCGGTGCTTATGTAGAGGGGGCATGTGATAATATATGCATTAAGGCAGTTGAAACCTCATGAGTCGAGGTATCCCACCCACGATCTGGAGTTGGGGGCAGTGGTGTTCGCC